GTAGAACGCATGTGCTTATCTGAAAAAAAGTGTCGAAGACAAAACAGGAAAGGATATGAATAGTAGGAAAATAGGGGAAAGCTAAAAACGGCGCAATTACTTGGTACCCAGCCTACTTTGACATAATTTTTCCAAACAAGTGTATTAACGAGTGGGCGGGGGTGTAGTCTATCTTATACAGTATTCAAGATAATGAAATGTAACGTTTCTAAGGACTTACACTTGACAAGATGAATTAAATCAACAATCAGTCACATGACCGTAAATGATATCAAGTTTCCTAGCGAACACTTACTTATCACACTGCTTAACACAAATTGACATGCAAAGTGACGCTTGAATGGTTTCATGTATATGAGGTTTTACAAGCTAAAAAGGGGGTCTGAAAGGGGGTACCTCGATAACACTAACACATCAGTTTTTGGCTTAACATGAAACAGTTTAATTTTAGGCATTTTATCACTAAGGCCCGGTTCAGACGCCGAACTTTTCATGAGCCGAACCTTATTTTCGAAAAGAAGACGGTCCGACCAATGCAGAATATGTCCGAAGAACCCTCCAAACACTTAAAGTATACTGTCTTCGGAAACCGAAAACATTAAAAAATTGGTCTATTTTTGAACAGCAAACCTTAAAAATTATAGGCAATTAACACTAAATACTAAACCCCATTCAGACCCTCTAAAAACAGTCAATAGAGTAAATTTTTGCTAGTGTGCAAACAAACCTGAAGTTAAAGCATAAGTGGTCCTGTGATAGGTTGCTACGTGAATAAAGCTTACGTGACAAGTTTTAAGTCGTGGTCTAGTTTCATGGTGATCGGACGTTTTCTTTAGGAAAAAGACCACCCCCCGTAACTTCTTTATAGAATAATGCGTGACACACTCCTTAACCTACCTGAGAACAATGTATTTCGCCAAACGCCCAACCCGTAAATGCTGTCTGAGGCAAAAGAGCGAGAGAGATGATTACCTCACTACGCACTAGCAAACATGGAAATCTAATCAAGTCATCCACGCGATGAAAAAGATTTTGGATCGCATAGGAAAAGATTTTGGATTGCATGGGATCGGAGAGGGATAGATATGGCAAACTGTCATCCGCCTCCAGTGGAGACGAGTGACATTTCAGACTGCGCGTACCTCTGAAAAAAAATTCCAGCTACGCCCCTGGCATGGTCTACACAAGATTCGGCAATCCTCACTGGTTTGTCGCTGTGGTTTTGCTTCTGTTTTAGAATGAATATGAGCGATACCCACAGTAAAGGGAGATTCTGATCCATTTTAGGCAGGGTTGTTTAAGAAATGTTCCAATGCCAGAGTACCCTTATCATTTTCGTTGGTAAGAAATATACCCCTGGAATTATTAGCGCCTCGATCTCCTCAAGAGAACATAAAGGCTTCTATGTTTTTTTGGATACCCGTAAAGTATTCTTACTGCTCAGGTTAGAACAGGGGTAGTTTTTCGTGTTCTTTCAGCCGCCGTGCAAACTCGGAAGTTCGAATGAACAAGGAAGCACATCGATGCATGGTTAGATGTGCGTACAGTGGAGGGGGGACGCTGATGTTGGGGATGCCCCAAGGATATTTGGAGTGTCCCCTTCAACGATTAACTAGGTCATACACGAGTGTTTCGTCAAAAGTCAAAATGACCAAACTAACAATAACAGCAACAGTAGTCAAACAAAACATTCCTGAATTACCCACAACTTTAATAATTATAGTACGGGTATTTAGTCTCGTACAAATTTCATCGGGGATAACACAATGTTTCAGGGGCACCCAACGGCAATTTTCGGGAAAATATCTGTTCGGAAGACGATTTGAGTTCTAGAATTTTCGGAAAATTTCTTACTTGCCTGCCTCTCCTAGGATTTTCGAACATCTACAAAATGGTATAATTACCTATTTTTAACGGATTTTGACCTTAAAAAAGACCACCTAGAATTTTCGGGAGCCTTTTCCTGGCTGAAATTTTCGAGAAGGTAAGTTTTTATCCCTATAATCTTCGGATCACTAGACTTTCAGCTAGGAAATCCGAACAGATGAAAAGTTTTTAGGGGATAAAAATATGCCTATATCTACCGTTTGAATACTAAAATACGTTCAACAATGCTATGTTAAGTGGTTTTGAACTATGTCCTCGTTGGATGCCCCTGATATTTTGCTATGCACTAGAATTATATTTTGTGAGCTTTGTTGTATAACCCATTTTCAAGAATAACCGAGCTATAACGGATGATAGGTAGCGAAAATACAATTATATTGTACATATTTTTAAATTAAGTATAAATGAAGAAAGAAAAGGAGTGAAGTATATGTTTGGGGTTCATGATCCCCAAAATCCAGCGAATGTTTGATTCGCATTTCTCCCCAAGTTATTACAAGTTTGAGATAAGCTTTCTTGAACATCCAAAGTACATTAAAAACCCGCAAGTACGAAAAGGCATTTTTCCGACTCACCCTAAACAGGTTCTTTGAGTGATTTTACTTGACCCGTGCCGAACAGATATTAATAACTAGTACAAAATAGCTACAAAAAGACAATGATATTAGTGCATAGTGGTGCGTACACTGTAGTATTCTACTACCTACCGACTAAATTGTATGACTTGTATCTAGGTTCCTTACCTTTCTTAGGGGTTTTTACTGTGGTACTTCAACAGCTACCCAGATAATTCAAAAACCAAGACAAAGAACTTGGCTAGCTATCTCGTGGGAAGGCTGCATTGTTTTGGCGGCGGAGCAGAAAAGTGTGGTTACAAGTCAATTTGAACTTGGGATCTTCCCTCGCGTCGCTTCGCGTGTTGAAAGTACCCAGGGCACAAGAATCCTGCCAGCTACACAGGCTTCCAATCTCGCTGTTTTTTATTCACCCACACCTTACGGTGACATGAGCATATATTCTATAAACACTATTTCACATGTCTAATTATAAAATGAATAATCATAAGAAAAATAATAATGATAATAATAATAAAAATATATTTTTTTCACTTTTTGGGCTTTTTGAACACTTTAGAATAAACTAACAGCTCTACGCTATTTATATACAATTCATTTCGATTAAAATAACCAACTAATTCCGATTAAAAAAATTCATTTCAATTAAAAAAAAAGTTATCGAATACTAACAGGAGCAACAATGACAACAATGCCAACTATTAAAATCCTATTTACAATTAATTCGCATTAAAAAGATGAAGAAGAAGAAAAAAAAAACCTATTCATTGAAAACACTATTGACAACTCCTGTCGATTTAAAAACATTTAATTTAGCTTAGAAAGAATTAATTTAACTAAGAAAAATTATATAAATTTAAAAAACAAGTATTACTAAGAAAAAAAAATCTAGGCCTAAAATTATGAATACAGATGTAGACCAGATACAGCGAGAGTGAAGTCTGCTGAGACCTCAATAATAATAATAATAATAATAATAATAATAATAATAATAATAATAATAATAATAACAATAACAATAACAATAATAATAAACAGTTAACAAAACAATAGGAAACAACAATTACGAAAGGGTTATAACGTTATGATAAAAAAAGATCATTTTTCCGTTGTAGACCAGCTACAGTCTGTTAAATAATGATAAAACAATTGGTTTGCCGCGCGCACGTACAACTATATACGTAAAACTTCTGAGTGAAAAAATACCTGCTTTTAATCTATTCAATTACTTCAAGTTCTTACAGTAAATATGTTAGCGTCCTACATTCAATTTCTTAATATCAATTTCTATATGGAACTAAGTATTTTCGCCCAAGGTAAAAAATATATCAAAACTGGAGTCTACCTTAGGTAATAATAAAATACTGATAGAAAAAATATAATAGACAAAAATATATATTTACATACACCTTAAAAACTAAATTGGCCTAATTCTAAAACAGTTCTCTAAAAATTATTTACACGTTAAGAAAGCCAATAAAAAGTAATACTTTTTTCTAATTATGTATGGTAGATTAAAAGATGAATGTGTTTCTAGGCTGTAGGTTAAAATAGCGTTATTATCGAAATCCGAATCGCTTGGACATATAGTTTCTTTCTGTCTTTCCTTTATTTTTTCCAGTTAGGGGGCTTTAGCATCGACGACGGCAACGGAAGAAAACGGTCACTTTTAAAATGAATTCGGCGCGTTTTTTTTTTTTTAAAGACGAATTTCCCTGGAGTTGATTTCTTGGCGACCGGACTCAAGTTTAGAAAGAGCCGAGAGAAAAATTCGTCGTTGCTTTTTTACGTTCTCCATAAAACGTAAAATTAGGCATTTTTACGTCAAAGAACTGTACAAAATAGTTGATGCACGTGCAAAGTTTTTGTTTTGCTAATCAAACCTATTGATTGCTTTTTTGCCGTTCTCGTTGCCGTCGCCGGCGCCGTTGCTAAAGCTCATTAGGGAATTTAAGCAAATAAGTTTTTGAGCGACGTCAACCGGAAGTGAGGCCTTCTCACTATAAATATGCCTTAACTCTGACAAATTTGTATTGCTAAGTTTATTTTCTCTTATAAAGACGATTTACGCGAGAGTTTCAACCAAACCACTGCCCAACGATGCAAAAAGTCCACTTCCGGTTGACGTCCCTTGCTCAAAAACGCTGTTGATACCTGCGAAGGTATCTCCCCAAAATAAATTATCCGAATCTAAGCTTGCTTACAGTGAAGTTCTGTATCTCGCAAAACTTTGAAATTAAGAAAAAGGGAAAACCATTTACTTTCTTTTACCATCCTCTTCGTTTTTCTTTATAGAAAAGTTGAGGAAATTGGCTTGATTTCATATTATATTATTATAATACCATCTGGTCACAGAGATCTCAATCTCGTTCCCAGAGTCTGTAATAAGCAGTGAAAAAAATTTCACGTTTTCCAGTGAAATCCGTCTAAAATTTTACATCATGAGTTGTTCGAAATAAACAAAGCTGTTTTGTGGCTATTAATTTCTTGGCAGTAATGAATGAAACCATCAAAACTGAATCGCGGATACATCTGGATTCACTGTCCATCTGATTTAATCGAAACTAAAAAGTGATTCTCTAGTTCCTCTACAATATCCAACCTCTTAAAGTCGTCCTCTTTCAGAGTTTTGCAAAAATCATACACGGTCAAATTTGGCTTGGTCGCTTTCACAAAGTCCAAGACTGCTTTTCCACGATCACCGGCATTTAATGGCGCATTAGCCAGAGCTGCAATGCCGGGGTCTTCCATGTCGTATTTAGAACCAATTCTTCTCCAGTCTCCACAACCGTGTTTCCTTGTTTCCAGTAGCAATGCCACACGGTCCATGATGCCTAAGTCTAACTCTGTCAGACGTTTCAGTCCTGAAAACGAGTAAGGGTAAGTTTTTTTTGGCAATTTTAAAGCACATAAGGTCATTTACATTGTATGTAAGGATTCAAAAGTACAGCAGTTGTCACATCAGCGCGACAGCAAACTATGAACGCTAATTAACTTTTATTGACCATTCAGACTGCAAGCGGCAGAAAGTGATTGATACAGCTATTTGCCTTGAACAAGATGTATTATAGGTAACGTATTAGATGTATATATAGATGTATTATAGGCGAATATAACAATGGACTTGACCTCAGCGTAGTGGACCCTTCACCCCGTTTAATTAAATGGGTGCGGACAAATTCTTGAACGGAAGAATTTTTTACCTGCGCAACCCGTTTACACGGAACCGGAACCGTGTAAATTGTGTTAGAGTAGTGTTCATACAGATGTATGAGTCTGCACAAATTCTTGCCAATGTCAGCGTTAGAATGGCTTCTTTAAAACAAAGACGCGTACAGGGCTCCTACAGATTTTGGATCCAAAATTCAAGACTTTTTCCAAAACGATAATTCATTTTTCCAGACTCAAGGTTATCAAAAAGCTGATCAATACAGACCTTGAAAAAACGCAAGAACAAAGCTTTTTTCATGACGCGCTGCAAACATATGAGCGATATTGAATCCACCAGGAAATTGAGTAATTTTAATTCTTAGTGGACAAAAACCTTGCACATTTTTACATTTTTCAAGGGTTAAAGATGTAATTAGTCTTCTGTAATAACACTAAAGAAGAAAATGAAAATGAATGTCAAAGTTCACAAACTTACATCTCACACATGAAATTTCCGAATTTTTTCTGTGTTTTTACAATTCTTGTGAAATTTGATATTCTCTTTCTCGGACTCCCATGAGAAATTTTCTTCGGCGTTATTACAGATGACTACTTACATCTTTAGCCCTTGCAAAATGTAAAAAAGAATGCAATATTCTTAAGATTATTCTGGTACAAGTAACAATGAAGGTTTTTGTCCACTGAGAATTAATATTACTCAATTTCCTGGTGGCTTCCGTCTTCATTGTTAATAAGGAACTTAAGCACCAGACGTTCTTGGTACCAGGGACGCCAGCCGGAAGTAATTGTGCAGCATGACAGCCACTGCGCATGTCAAGACGTTCTTGGGCTGTAGTCACGGACTTCAAAACACGAGTTCTCGGGTTGAAACCAGAGGTTCAGAAACGTGAGTATGAACACAGTTAAAGTTGTTAATATTTGATGTCCAGTATAACAGTTTCCAATCCTTGTATGTTCTTTTGTTATGTTAGAACTTTAAAGGCGTAGTAGAATCTTTGAAAGACATTTTCAACTGAATTATTCTGTCCGCGTTCGTGATGGTTTCACGTTGGTTTGCTTAACATTTGGCGCGGAAACCGCGTCCCCGATCCAGTTCTGTGCGGCCAACCATGCCGTTCGTGAATCAAGAACGTCTGGTGCTTAAGTTCCCTAATGATGTCAAAACAAGACCAAAACGCCGCCGATACTCACTCATTCCATTAAGACCCGGATGATGGATGACGTCAAGTCTTGCAGTATTTGACTTTTCGGCCTCTCCGTATAAATCTTTATAGCTCACACGACACATGTAACATCCAAAATCCCGCAGCTGAACAGGATTCAGTTCAAGAACAGATTTATCCTGCCCAATTAATGCTACATCATCTTTAAACCACTGATACATGAAATTCTTGCTCTTTTTTTCAAGCTTACATGCTAGCTCAACTTTTGATCCTTCTTTTGGAGTTTGCGACTTTGGATGCTTGGCTATCTTTATCGGCTCTATTGAAAAAAAAAAAAAAACATAAATCAAGTGAATATAGGCATCTCAATGGATGGCCAAACATGAACCTACAGTGGAACCCCGTTAATACGGTCACCAATGGGCTAGGCTATTTTGCGGGCAAGGATCAATTATGATATGAATCCAATGAGTTTTAATAGACTTGAAACTTAAACTTAAAAAAAAAAAAAAACTGGCCGTATTAACGAGGGTTTTTTTACAAGAAATATATTACCGTTTCACCAGGCGGTGAAAAAAAGTGGCCGTAATAACAATGACCGTATTACCAAGGTGGTTGTATTACCAAGGGGTTTCACTGTATACAAGGACGGATATTTTGTGATTTGTGAAATTCCAATCTCCAAGGAGCATATTATGAGCGTTCTCTAGGCTCGATTTCCGCCGCTCTCCCAGCTCCAGTCTTCCCCTCCCGAAAAGACGGCTGGCATTAGAACCAATACGTTCTCTTGACCTCACAATTTGTTCCGTCTCATCCGGACGGTAGCTAGCAAACCCGAAGGACTAGAGCCTGTATTTCCGAACACGTTTTACTAACTAACTTGCGTTTACCGTTACATGATTATTTCTACTACCAGTGGCCCACGATGCAGACGTAGTTCCCTAGGCGGGAGGGGTGAGATGGTTAGAAGGAAGCCCTACGAGTAAAAGGCACGAGTCCCAGTACATGTATAGAGATAAACGGGCGACGACAGGGTATTTTCTTCCTCCCTACCCTACACCCCACTTGGCCCTTTCGCTTTCCCACCTTTCTGACCAATTTTTCAGGTTTTCTTCTCTTTCAATATCGAAAATCCATGGTGACTTTAGCCTAGAAATCCTTAGCCTGCGTGGCAGGCACAGGTTAGCTTTTTCGGTTACGCCATGGATAGCGCGTGAGGGGAACACGTGCGTGCGCGCATCCTCGAAATCTCTCCCTTCACACTAAAGAAACCGGCGCCTCGGAAAATACTGAACACTGGTACTAAAAACTGCTTTAGACCATAGTTAATAGAGTGGAATGGTCCTGAAGCCCGTCAGACTCCATTAATACCTGTATTTGTTTTTTGGGACTTGACGATGCACCACGTTCAATAACATTCCTATCATTCTCATCTTATTGACCAACAAAAACTTTGTCCATCAAATGTCGATTGTGTTCAGTCAGTGAGCTCCCAGCATAACATGCTGCAAAGTTGTTTTTATCTTGGATTCTAATGCTACCTTTCTTAACCAGTCTCCTCTACTAACTAATACGTTCGGACAGAGCATAATTTAATTATCATGCATCTAAAACATAACCATGCAGTTTTATCACTGATAAACTTACCATGTGCTTCAGAATCCTCAAAAAAGACAACAATAAACTTAAGATTAATAAAAACAACTTAATAAGGTTATATCACCACAGGAAAAAAAGTTTTAAATTAAAATTATAGCTAATTTCCGAAGTTTCAGCAAAAGAAACATTACAGTCTTCTATATATTAGTAAGTCCTTTGTGACTTTAAACACATTGACACTTAAATAAATACATATAATTGTACTTGTTTTTGCTGTCGTTGTTGTTGAGGTTTCTCTTAATACTTTTTTATGCCTACAAATAGTGATGACAAAAATTTTGAATTGGACTACCACAATGAACAAAAGTCAGGATGAATAACTTAAATTATTTTATGGAACTAAATAAATTTATACCTCATCAGATTCTAAAAGAGAATTATCCCTTTTCAATGAGATTTTCTCTACAAATTCTCCAATACTTCTTGAGGAGAAACTGCACTTTCTAAACTCACCTAAAAAAGAAATTAAATAAAACAATTTTAAAAACAGAACAATAAATGTAAATTGCAGATTATGTTAATTGAAGTAATAAGTTTAACATTACTGACCAGTACTGGTTTGTGAATCTTGGCTGCCTTGTCGGCTCACAATTAAGGGCTTTTTGTTATTTGTTGATTTCTGTTTTTCTTCTGGCAGAGCCACTAAAACAATACTGTCTTTCACTGTTAAAGGGCAAAAAGAAACTTCAAATTACTGTAATTTCAAATCACTCATTTTATAATAGTCTTTTCAGTTACATAAAAAAGTAAACTAATTGTCACCCATGTACTTAGCTGACGGTACATGTGCAGTTATAATATACGTGTTACCTATTATTTTACAACTGCAAATGCAGACTACAGGAAAAAGAAAATTTCAACTGTTTATGTCAGAACACATTCAACAACAAGTTGCAAGTTTAAATTGTTCATCACATGGGAAATAATTATATCGATGCAGCAAAAAAATGGTTTGATATTTCATTGTGTTTAATATAATAAATAGAAAACTACATGGCCACACTGAGATATGAATTTCTCTTTGGGTGTTGAAAAATATTTCACTAATGTTTCCACCACTCTCTCATGCAATAATTTTTGCAATGAGATACCAGGAAAGTTTTGTATCTCCACGCAGTCATGTATAATCCTCTATTAATAAAAATACATTGATGTATCTTAAGCTGGCAACCAAATGTTATTGCAACCATAACCAGTTATAATAATTATTGTGTTTGTAAACTACTGTTCAGTAACTTTTATGGACCTACCTGGTACAGGTTTTGGTTCTTCAACTTCAATTACTTGTCGTGATGTCTGGGGTGTTCCATGATAGGATGAATTATAACAGTTACTGTCAAATGTAACTCCTCTAGGCTCTGTTCTTGGGCCTTCACTAACATATGCATGTGATGCTGAAAAAAAAAAAAGCGTTATTGATCAAGCATAAGGTCAAGACGGCTGGATATTGGCTGAATTTAAATTGTACTAAAGTGTACTACTGTAACACTGCTGGACAGCAATTTTGGGAAAGGAAAACTTACATGTATGTGTATTTGCTGATCCATTTCTTTGTTCACCAGAAGGTGCTTCGGGTTGTTGTTCTAATGACCTCTTTCTTTTCTTCCAACAGCAATATGCCATTAAAAGCAAGGCCCCTACAGCAATTACAAAACCAGCCACACTAACTCCAATAATTGTTGGTAATGATTTTTTAGATTCAGTGGCACCTGGATTAGAACTGCCACAATTCTTATCCGGCCTAGGAGTGCAATCTTTGTCTGTGCCTAGTCCGGCACATTCTTGAACCTTTTCATCTTCTCCATCCAAACAACAGGCAGAACACTCCTGGCAGTTGTGAACAGTCTTGCTCATGAAATATCCTTGCTCACATTTTCCACTGCATACCGTGTCATTTTTGTTGGTACACTCTGCTTTCTTTATCTCATGCTCTGCACACTGATGACAAGATTTACATGGAGAAGAATCATATTCACTGGAAAATGTTCCTGTTTTGCAGAGACGGCACTCAATCATTGTTGGACGACCTTGCAGAGTACTGCCACATTTTGGGTGTAATCCCAATCCTTTGTGGCACGTTTCACAGGGCAGACAACTCTGAACAGTTCCAGTTGAATTTACAATTGTGTACTGGTTTTTACCACAAATAATTATTCCACCATTACTTGGCTGTATGACCTTCAAAGAAAATAAGTTTTAATATTTATCAACATGGCATGTTTTAAAGTTTGCAGCCCTAACAAGGTTTGCTCACTTTGTGCTTTCCTTAGCACACCCCCAAAAAATGCTAAAAAAATTATGCCTGTTCTGCAGGCTATCACTGTAGAGGTGCTGCTATATGGGGGATTCTGTGAACATGGCATCAATAAAAATCATATTGATACCATATTAATAGTTAATAATAATTAACATTAATAATTAATTTTGCTGAACTCCCCAATGGTAAACCAATAAAGTTAACATTATGTTGTTGGTGGTACATTATATCCTGTGCACAGCCACCCCTCCCCTCAGGAAAAAATTCAGAAATTTATTTTGGGAGAGGTGGATAGGGTAGGTAGGGGGCTGCTGTACACATACATGTTTCAAACAAAACCATGTGACACTCAAAAGTCAAAAATGCCTATAAATCAGAGATGAAAATGGTTGAAAGTTTAAAACGAAAAGAATAGTTTGTACATCTATATATAGTTTACTATTAATATTAAATATGTTTGACAGCAAGGATGCACTTTATTATTTTTCCCTTACTCGTGTGGAAGGGCAGCTAAAGTTAAAGTGAATGCAGAGAGTCCATCTGCCAGGCAAGAAAATTGGCCATTAAAGGGTAACAGACAAACTGTACATCAAAAGGATGTTCTCACTGCAATATTTACAACTGGTTATTTTCAGTTAGTTTCATTTAGCCTGAAAACACTTGAGCTGCTTTTTTCACAATGCCACCAGTAGTTTGCCTGCAAAATGATATGTGAGGGACAACCACCAAAATTCCATACTCGATGACAAGTCACTACCCAGATCTGGGTAGTTTTGTGATGCCTCATCAGCGTCATCAAACATCACTTTGCAGGAAAACTAGTGGTGATGTCGCAAAGGGTTGGCTGTAAACCCACGCCTCCAGCCATCTTTTCAGAGGGAAAAATGTGAACGGCAGTTGGAAATCAAGCCTTAGCTATTTTAACAGTGAAACCAATCAGTTTGAGATCAAAATGACAAATGACAACCAACAAATGCTTTGATTATAAATACATGTACAATTTGCAGGTCCAGTCGCAGGTCCATATGAAGGTGCAGTTGAAGGTTGTAGGGTTAACTCAGAACTCTTACTTAATGACACCTGCATGCCTACAAATTTCACCAGCTCCAAAGTGCACTAGAATATTATTTTGGGTGTTACAAAGTATGTATCTCTTTTCCTGAGAAGTACTATTATATAAAGCCCTTCCAAGAGAAACAAAATGATAGGTGACATGATATGGCCCCGAAAACTGGCGACAATCCTCTCAGAAAGCACCAACAAATATAGTCAGAAAAGGAGAGACGTTAATTATTATTGTGACAGGGACAATCCATTTTTTTAGTTGTGAAAGTGACATCTGTCCACTTTTGCATTTTGGGTGTTTTGGCAGCAAAATAACAAACTACTCTTCCATTTTTCCTAACATAGTATTAAATAATAATAATATTTATCCAGGGAGCCCACTCGCCTTAGCGGTTTTCAGTGGGGCCCTGCAAATCATAAATGACATGTTAAAAAAAACTACTTTAAAAATTAAATACTAAGAAAAGAGAGAAAAATTAATATTTACATATTGCAGTTTAACAATAAGATAGGGCATTATTTACAAAGTTTTGCAAGCTTTGCCTTAAAGAAGGACTATGATTTGCAGTTTTTAATGTCATTGTCTATAGGTTATTCCAGTCCTTAGAGGCTTCATTGAAAAATGAAAGTTTGCTTGTCCCAGTTGGTGCACAGGCGAGGAAGGTGTAAATCATTGCTTCTGCAATTTTGATAAGAATGTCGAAGACTACCATATTACGTCTGATGTCAAATTTAAAATCAATTTCCCCAGAAAGATATTTTTGCATCCTAACACAGTGATGGAAGTGTCTTCTCTTTGAGAGGGTTCTATAGGTCCAATCTATCTAGTGCCATGGTTGATGAACTTATTGGTGGTAAATTAAGCAGAACCTTGGCTGGGCCTTCACAGTTTTAAAGAACTTGCAGCTGACCCATAAGTGAGTCATTTTGTCACCCCACACTGTGTCTCCACAGTCAAACAGTGGGATGATTAAGCAATTGTATAGTGTTAGCTTAGCATGTAATATAAGGCAAAAGATGTCATAATTATTCTCTTTAATTTAATAACATTTTCTGTTATTTTCTTTGGACCTTTTTCTAATTTTAGTATTGGTCAAGAGCAGTTTNTTGGTGCACAGGCGAGGAAGGTGTAAATCATTGCTTCTGCAATTTTGATAAGAATGTCGAAGACTACCATATTACGTCTGATGTCAAATTTAAAATCAATTTCCCCAGAAAGATATTTTTGCATCCTAACACAGTGATGGAAGTGTCTTCTCTTTGAGAGGGTTCTATAGGTCCAATCTATCTAGTGCCATGGTTGATGAACTTATTGGTGGTAAATTAAGCAGAACCTTGGCTGGGCCTTCACAGTTTTAAAGAACTTGCAGCTGACCCATAAGTGAGTCATTTTGTCACCCCACACTGTGTCTCCACAGTCAAACAGTGGGATGATTAAGCAATTGTATAGTGTTAGCTTAGCATGTAATATAAGGCAAAAGATGTCATAATTATTCTCTTTAATTTAATAACATTTTCTGTTATTTTCTTTGGACCTTTTTCTAATTTTAGTATTGGTCAAGAGCAGTTTCTTGAGGGAGAAGAGCTAATAACAATTAATTCTTTCCAGGCCCTATACAATTTACTGTATCTTCCGTAACTTCCAAATTGAGTATCTCAAAAATTTATGGTGAACCAACAGCAACATTTTTGTGACAGCTTCATTTTTTCTAAACCTACTAGGCGGCAGGCAGTCTTAGAAGTGACTGACAAAGCGACAAGGCCTCTACATAGACAGGGGGAACCACTGAGACGGCTGAACAAAAAACCCATAGTAATCCATATTTTCTATAAATCTTTCACAAAACAATGCCAACAAAGAAATTTTCAACTACTTTTAATATTCAAACATTAGGACCATTTATACGAGGAACACTAAGACGAGTCTTTCATTGGACGCGTCCTAAATAAGACAAACTATCCTGTATTTATATAAATGGCACATTAAGACGTAACTTAAGCCTTGTTCACACTTGCGACATAACGAACGACGTAAGAAGGTTGTTATGTCGCAAGTGAGAACATGTAGACATAACGACATAACAGCAACAAAATGACATTGACATAACAACATAAGGAAAAAACTGATTATTTCCTTTAATAGTAGTTATGTTTACGTCATTATAAATAACAAAGAACCAATCAGGGCATCTCAAAAATATCAAACCTAGTCTCTCTTGCTCAAGCACAATTTTCAAGATGGTGGTTGCAGAGGAGGTTGAATGTGTTGATGAACATATGCATCCAGATATCAACGAACTGCTTTCCAAAGGCATTCATCGATATTCCATTTTAAAGATCACAAGATGAAATCGGATGCTTGGAAGAAAATAATATTCCCTGTCACCCAACCCAAGCTCTTTGACAAGGTTATAGTACTGGCTATCGGCTCTTCTTGCTTCCTCTTGAAATATTGGGCGTACCCAAATTTTTCTTGTCATAGTTGTCTTATTTTGGAGACTTTTTCTTCACCTTCTTATTAGAAAAAACAACACAATGGCAAACGCCATGAGGACGGCCTCCACCATTTTGTTTTCTCTACTGGACATACAGTAATGTTGTTATGTCAATGTTCACAATTGCGACATAAGCATCTTATGTCGTTAAGTCTCAGTGTGAACCAGGCTTTAGCAAAGATGCGTCTTATTGAAGAGCAGGTGTTAGGGGCTTTTCTTAGGTAAGACGCGTCTTAGCTAAATTTCAAATGAAATGTGCCTCTTATACGGGATGGTTTGAGTCTTATTTAGGATGTGCCCTATGTAAGACTACCCTGCAAGCAGACTAAAAAGGCTACATTTCGCTGTGTGAACTGGAGTGCGAAAACTGGCCTCTGCCAACAACCGTTCAATTTTCTATCGTGCATGAGCAAAATTCATCACCCGATTCGCAAGCAAAATTAATTGTCAGGTCTGACGTCAAATCACGCCAGATTCACGAGATAAAAAATTGTGACAACTCTGATCTGCTACCCAAGACTCACACAATGCTCTAAACCGGTCAAGAACAGGAAAAAAACGTTTTTTTTTAATTTGTTTGTCCAGATTTCTGGACGGATTTGAACGGTTGTCGGCAGAGGCTACTTTTCGCACGACAGCTCACACAGCGAAAATTTAATGTAGCTTCTGCTCCCGGGGTAACGTAAGACGCCTCTTATTCTTGCACGTTTAAACGGCCCTATTGTTCAAATGCTCATTAATTCGACCAATAATTACGCCATCTCTCAATCGAGATCTTCGCTTAGAAGTATAGTTGTGTAGTAAAATCACCACAACTCTTTAGATAAGGAATATAATACGTGGTAAACAAGACTATTCCAAAACACGTACACTACCAACGAGAAGAAAAGTTTGAGGCTCAAGAATTTGAGATCTGTTCACTTTAGAAAGGCGCGAAAATAATCGTGACCGGGATCACGGTTTTTTAAATGATAAGCTTAAATAAAAGTTTGCTCTCCTTACCAAACATGCGCCAAAAATAGGTAATGCGAACAGAGAACATCTCATTATATCGACGATTGTATCACATGGATCTGAAACAGAAACCCAAATCAGGTAAAATTATCCCTCATCTTCTGGACTCTAAGCTTATTAAGTATAAACGCAAAGCGGAAAAACCAGAAACCACTTCAGAAACCCTACACCACCATAAGCCAAGCACAAATTCGTAAAATAACGGCGACGATACGAATACTTTTGCAAGTTGTAATTAATGATTAAATCAAAGCCTGGTTAACATATTATATACTAACACCGGTTTGCAAATCTGCAAAATTTAATTTAGCTTCTACATATATCTCATCCGGTTTCTAGCAGGACAGATCATTACGGAGAAATTTAAACTGGTATCAAAACCAAAACAAGATGACTTGGGCACTAAAACGATCGCTGCTTACCTCTTATCAGATGGAAAAACAAAACAATGTCCTTTGAAAGCAGATCTTATAGGTTATATTAAAAGGAAGTGCTATTTTGCAAGATTACGCTGAGCTTGCTGAACGTCCATGAATGGTCCATGAATGCTCCATGAATGCACAAGTACGTCAGCGGTTACCGTGCTGACCGCATCACAAGATTGCGTTTAATAACTCAAGCGTGATTACAACACGTGCCAAGTTTTAAAAGTCAGTATCGGACAATCGAATTATATAATTTTTCAATTTAATGTGTTTTACGTTTTTGTTAAAGCTCACCCTTGAGTTTTAAAGCCGCCATCCCGCGATCTCGAAGGAAGGTTAGCCCCCTCCGCAGGCAGGACAGGAGGCTACATCTGACCTAGCAAAACCGCAACAGTGATCAAAATAAGTATGATGACGGAGGGTGTTATTTGCAGGTTGCAGGTTGCTGGTTAGAATTTCAAGTACGCGCGAACGGTCAACGCGAAACTGATTTTGTGAAAAAAAAACAAAACAACAACAACAACAACAACAACAACAGCGTCACGTCACTTAACAGCGTCACGCAAACCGCAAATAGTCCCAGGAAATTGTTTTTTGCAGGAGCCCATGGGCTCTAGACGTGCTACAAGTCGACTTGAGTTAGATTTTGCAACCGGAGCCCTATAGATCAAAATTTCTCAGCTTCACACTTTTAAAAATAACAAGGAATGCTAAAAAAAAAAGGATGTGGAAATTTCCACGTGCCGGCCAACCACGGCGTTAGAATTTGATACGTGACAGAAGGTCACGCCGAACGTGTCACGCTTATAATACTTCCAAAACAGTACACTTTCAAAGGAACAAAATAAAAAGAACGTACCTAAAGAGAGCAACGCACACATTGAGGGCCAGTCGGATGTAATTCATCGCATGATCTGCAATAACATCAATATTTTGCTTTCTGTTGAAATTCTCCATCACACCCTCCACGTGCTCGACCACGGCGTACTGATTCCAACAAGAACCATACATTACCGGGGGTGGGGGGGAAACACTCCCTCATTTGGCCTATACGGGTATGTGCCGCTGAACAGGGTATGGTTTTCAGGGTCTTGAGTCTTAAACAGGGTATATAATTTCACTACTGGGCGTCTTGAACAGGGTGTCTTTTTAGACCCGAAGCCTTAAACAGGGTGTGAATTTTGGTGGTGTGCGGTGTGCGTGACGCTGTAACTGAAAGACAGTTTTTATTCTCAAAATCACTTTAGCGTTGACTGTTTGTGCGTACTTCAAATTCTGACCTGCAACCTGCAACCTGTAACCCGCAAATTACACCCTCCGGTATGATGAAAAATCAAACTCTTCTTCCTAAGAAGCCGGGGGGAGGGTACTCCCGCGAATTTTGGATAGGGGTGTGCTGCGAAGGTTCGTGAACCCTAACCCTATTTAAGGACTAAGAAAGCGAAAACTGATACCCTTTTTAAGGCCCAAAGCCGAAAAATTACACCCTATTCAAGGAAAGAACAAAATTATTCATAGCATGGAAAGGAAAACTCTATTTCTTGGCTGTAACATTGGATGTATAGCATCAAGCATAGAATACTAGAATACTTAAACGGATACATCAAGTTTAAAAGAAACTGTTCGTTTAGGCGGGCATTTTCACACTGCAGTATTAGATAACTGACAATTAAGCTACCCTATCTAAGGACCACACCAGGGACACAGAAACAAAAGGGTAAAAAAAGATACCCTATTTAAGGACCGAGAACCTCAAAAACCATACCCTATTCCGCGCCTCGTACCTATATAGCCCATATATGGGAGTACCCCCCCCCCC